GATTAGCCTTGCCAAATAAACGTTTACCGAGAGTTGGGGTTTAATGATTACCATGGTTTTATGATTACCATCTGTCACAACGAAACTGGACCTTAACCTAGTGCGACGGTTTGCGTATCTCCTGGTCCCTTTTATCTGTACTGGGTGATGCCTCCGGGCATCTTGGGTGCTACTCCTATCAGGTTGGTCAGTGGTGAGAAGTCAGACGAACTCAGTCTCCAGTTTGGGGGTTTGAAATGTGGTGGCATCCATTTCTGTAAAACTAACTCATTACCACCTCCCCGCTGCCTTGCGGACAGGCTTTTGAGCCAAAGGCTTTGGATGAGGACCTTAATCGTCCTGTGTATTTCTGGGCGCACTGACAGTATCTCAGCCCGCATACAACCATGACATTTTCTTCAAACATAACCATCCTACATCGGCTGTCGCGCAGATTATCAAGGGTCGCCTTATCTGCTGCATACGGCAGGGCGGATAAGCGAAAGCATGCTACTGCTGGCGCCTTCTTTCTCTTCCATCTATTTCTCTTACTCCCATCCTGACCCCCATTACTAACCTTCCTTCTATAATTTCCAGCTTAATTGACAGCAACCGAAGTGCCACTGGAGTAGAACCATCTGCAGTCACCATCCCACAGCACCTATCCGACGCCTATCGGCAAAAGTCCCTCATAAGACCATGTTGTCCCGTTTCCATGACGACGATCAACGTTCGCACTCTAAGACAAACAGGTCAATAGGCTTCACTCGCACACACCTTGGACACACTGGGTATTGATGTGTGTTTTGTGTCCGAAACTAGGATCAATGACCCTAACGGGGTTTGTTGAATTAACTTCACCCGGCTTATCCTCTCGTTATTGGTTGTACGCATCCGGAGACGCCGATGCAGCACTCACGAGTCAAGCTGGTGTAGGTATCATTCTAAGCTCCAACGCTGCGCCATCGTTGGTTGATTGGATTTCACCGAACAGCCGTTTATGTGCAGCCCGTTTGACATCAGCTAAGGTTGATTCACGAAGTAGTACAAAACCCTGTTTTTTGTGATTTCCGTTTATGCTCCCCCTGACTGCAGTTCAAATGCTGTCAAGGACACATTCCATGACGAACTGAGCCCGCTACTACGCAATGCTACTAGTTCAGATATTATAGTACTTGCAGGGGATGTAAACGCTCAGGTAGGGCTTCTGAGCCCTTCAGCAGCTCAGCTGGGTGGTAATTATGGGCTTAACTCCGATCGGACTGACAACGGCGAGTGTCGGTTGCTACTGTGTGCGGAGCATCAGTTGTTTCTTAGTAGCACTGCTTTTAGACACAGTGGGCGCCGAAGTGCCACTTGGCGTCCTGTAGCTGGCCAGCGATGGACCCAAATTGACCGCATAGCCATAAGTTACAGGTGGGGTGGTTCCATCCTGTGTTACCGCTAGTACTGGAATATCTTTGTCGACTCTGATCATGCCTTGGTGCGCTGTCGTTTCTCCATGAACTTTACCAGGAGACGCACCAAACGTCTCCTCCGATTGTCAACTGAGAAATTGCCTCAGCCCCCGGTCAGATAAGCCTATCAAGATGCACTGCGTACCGAACTTTCGCTGTCTTGTCCTAATGACACTGAGCTTCAGTGGAATAAGATCTCGGCCGCCATGCACGACGCAGGAGCATCTGTTTGTGGCACTATCCATCGTCACCGCACCAGTCACTGGATTTGCGAGAGGTCGGTGAACCTGTTGGAATCTAAAAGAAATCTCCAAGCTGCCTCTGAACTCAATGTGATCAGACGGGTTATTAGGCGCAAACTAAATCAGAGCCTACGTGCTGACAAGGAAGCCTGGTGGACTAGTGGGGTTCAAGAAATGGAGAAGGCAGGAGCAGTAGGCAATTACCGCAAGCTCTTCCAGCTGCTCCGCACAACTTGTCCTAGGAAACCAGGCGTCAGTGAAACAATCAGACAGCGCGGGTGCACTGATACACAATAAGGAGCGCCGTATGGCTCGTTGGGCGGAACAATTTCAGGATCAGTTTAGCTGGCCCCCTGCTCCCTGACATCTTTTTACTCAGGTGATGCAGTAGGAGCCATGGACGGTTAGTTTAGAGCCTCCGTTGGAGGCCGAGGTCCGAAACGCGATCACAGCCCTCAATCCTTTTCGTACCACTGACCTGGATTCCATCCCACCTGCACTATTTAAGGATGGAGTTGAGGTCCTCTGTAAAGCACTGACCTCCCTATTCGGACGCGTCTGGAATGACGTGTCCCGATTCTACTGGCAATATACTCGATGGGCAGTCGCACAGATTGTTCTAACCACAGGGGTGTTAGCCTAGCGCCAGTTGTGACAAAGTTACTGACCTCGATTCTCGTTCCTCGCTTCACTGTGGAACTGGAATCTCGGATTAGGGAAGAGCAGGCCGGTTTACGCCCCGGGGCGTGGCTGTATAGACCATACACTCACTTTGCGGCAGATGTTAAAGAAGCGTCACGAATACCGCAGACCGACAGTAGCTGTGTTCCTCGACTTTAGTCGATCCATCTATTCTGTTTGAAATACTTGCACGGAAAATTGTTCTCACGAAATATGTGAACATCCTTCTTGCTGTATACTGGAACACTACAGGCCGCGTCAGGGTCACGGTGGCCTATCGGATAGCTTTCCTACCACAAGTAGCGTTCGTCAGGGTTGTCCGATTTCCCCATTTCTGTTCAATTTCCTCGTGGATTCTATCATGGAATGTTCCCTTGCGGAATCTCACAATGTAGGCGTTGAAGTGCTGCCTGATGAAAGACTAGTTGATCTAGAGTATGCGGACGATATCGTCTTGCTTTTCGACAATGTTACTTGGTCAGAATCAACCCTGAATACCCTGGCTGGGGTGATCCCATTATTTGGTATGCACTTCGCACCTTCAAAGTGCAAAGTGCTGCTGCAGAACCACCAGCCATTTGATGATCCCTTGACCGTTGCTAACGAGGAGCTCGAGGTGGTTGACCAATTCACTTGTCTTGGCAGCTGCGCCAGCAACGATGGGCGCATAGGAACTGATCTCAGCTAACGCATTGCAAAGGCCAGAGCTGCTTTCTTGAACCTGCAGCTTCTTTGGCGACAGAAGGGAATTTCCCTACGTCTGAAAGGCCGTGTATACAAGGTCACATTGACGGCCGTTCTACTCTATGGTAGTTAGACTTGGCTCCTTCGGTCTGAATATCTGAGGCGCCTTCACTTCTTTGATCCTCGTTGTCTGCGAAGCATTGCTGGTGTCGGATGGCAACGGTGGTGTGCGTAGGTGAGTACTAGGCAGTGATAATCAAGCTTGTTCATTGGAACGAAACATAGCACTGAATAAGTAGCCCACCGCTTATCTAGGTGGGCCTTGTTTAGTCTGCCAGGTGTAGGGTGGCGCAAGGCTCGAGGTAGACAGAAGTTGACTTAGCAGCGGGAAATGAAGTCACTGACGACCAAACTTGGTGCTGTTGGTCCGTCTCGCGTTTCGGGCTAGAGTCCACGTGATTCGCCTTGTTCTTGGTTCTAGACTTTACAGGACAGGGCTGGCAACCGACACCAGTGGTACGTCTGCTGCCGTCTCCTAATCGGATTGCCTGTTTAAAGTGTGTTTGGTGCTGAGTTATCTGCGGGGTAATGACTGATCATGACGTGGGGCAATGGAAGCCGCAAGGAAGCTGGCTCACCTTATCTTTTCACGATAGCCAGTTGTTTGTGACTGTATGTTGTTAACACAAGGTCTAGCCGCCTTGATCCTGAATGTTTGCTTAGGGCATTAAAGTTTTCAGGTAAGTCCCCCTTCTCTCCCTCTTATTCTTTATTTCATAGGTCATCATAGTTGTATGGCAGCGAAGCATCACTTCAAATGGCTGATGTACTGCTGTTGCTGATGATGCTGATCACCATGGGGTATTGTTGCGGATGGTGCAGCATCAATAATACAGCCGTTACCGTCACTCCCACTTAGGTATATAAATAAATAAATAATGGTATTGGTTGATCAGTAATGAGTGTTTGGTAGCGAATAGACGAAACATGGAAAGAGAAATGCGTCAGAAGTGGCCTGTTTCTTTATTAGTTCGACGTGCTCAGCAGTTAAATCGACCTTCCTGAAAATTCAGGATGGTCGATGCTGCATGATTTTGGGCATGGTTGTTTAAGGGCTGGAAAACTGCCAGGGCACCGAAGCTCAGCACGGCATAATGATTACTGTTTCTGTCTAGGTTTTTAGCACAAGCGCTCGTTTTCAGGACTGTGGTGATACTACGACGGTTCACAGACTGGATTATTTTCTCACAAATGGGTGAGACCTCAAATGACGGAGTCAATCGTTCCTACCTAGGTCGATTTTATAAATGTTGTCTTCAGATACCACGTAGTATATTTTCAAAATGTATAGTAGTATGTAGTATATTTCAAAATGTCGCGCCGGGTCCGAATGGTCTCAATCCTAATGCCTACATGGCGCATTGGGGTTTCTATTCATCCGGGTTTTTTCCTTTTTTCTGTAGCGGTCTCTATTTCTGTTTTAGTCTGGGAAAAATACTAACATAACTTATAAACGCACTGAATATAAAGACGGCGATGGTGAGAATACTGGTTTTGCTTTTCTCCAGACTAACTGACTGATTCGGTCAAGTTGTCATTCTTCGGTTCGCGGGACTTATATGCAGAGTTGCGATCTACTAATTTCTTATCTTAATTTGTAACATGTAATTATTATTTTTCGCGTTTAATTCATCTGATCCACACTTTTTCACTAACACACGTATTCTCGGCTAGCTTTTTGATCCAACCCAGTGGTTTAAATAAATTGATAAATAACTCAACGTTTTATTTCTTGGCGGTGTGAGGCACTTTCCAACTCACTGCCGAGGAATAAAACGTTTATTTGTTTATTTATTTGTGCATTATAGTGCTCCTTTTTACTCACTGATAGTCGGCTTTCCTGTGCGCTCGATGAATGCCCTGGAGTTATACATCTGTTTTCTTACTTACCATTTAGGTTCTCAAAATGATGGTCGGTAACAACCTGAAGGAGACTCAGTTACAACAAATAGTTGACAAGACAATTATGTTTGCAGACAAGGATGGTGATGGACGCATTTCGTTTGAAGAGTTCTGTGAAGTTGTAAGCACATTAGATGTGCACAAGAAGATGGTTGTTGACGTTTAGATCCCCCACATTTGGTGCACTGTCTCTCGATCTGCGCGTTATACCCCCGCCGGTTTATGCTTCCATTTCCTTTTGTAAATCTGTTGTACCCTTATTCTTCTTTGCACAATATCTCCACTTGTCTGACATCCTCGTCCAGCTAACCCACTCCAGCCTACTGTGAATACGATTTTACTTTCTTCCGCTTGCTCCCGCTTTCTCTGTCTTTCATGCATTGTAGCCTTATTTGCACAATTTCCTTCCCCACACTGATCTCTCCTTTCTTGCAACTGCTTCAACCAAAGTCTTCAGCACTGGCTGCCATTGTTCTTTATTGCGCCATCCTCCGGACTTACCTACAGTCATCTTTTTGGGAATTTACGTACCACTTGCATCCTAACTGTACCCCCGGTTGCTTTTCCGCATTCATAATCGTCACTTTATCTAGCAACTTACTCTTCGCCCAGTCTAATACACATGGTACAGTAGGTTAATGGACCATCATTTTATCTTAAATTTCGTTGCTTCACTATTTCTTTAACGCTTCCAGTCGGCGATCACTGCCCGATCATCGGCTCTCAGTTTCTCCCCATGTTCTTCCTTTCATCACTTGCTTCCTCAGTGCAACTACCTATCCCTTTGATCTCATCGTTCCACTGCTGGTTTATCGTTTTATCAGAAGCAAAGAAAATGGTACAGCATTAACTCCTCCGCTTTCTACTCCTATGATCGCGTTGGATCCTTAGTGGAGTACGAAATTTTCTTCCATCGAAATAACCACGCGATTTTTCATCGGTGACAATTCACCTGTTTGTACTCTCTAAAAAACAACTTATCTTTCAGACTTTCTCTACTAACTAAAAATGTGGAGTGTCATGGCACATTTTCTGTTTGAGGTTGTTTTAGTCCATATGTTGCCCTCAGTTATATTGCGTCGTTGTCTGTTAGTTGTTATTTCGTGGTGTCACACTGTAGACGTGTCGCCTCATAAAAAGCGGGACGCGTAGAGAAAAAACAACACAAATTTTTTCCGCCGCGTACTAGCACCACAAACGCTAGGATTATTTTTAAGTATTCTACAAGTATGTTGTCTACAGCTGTTGTTATGACGACACCACTACAGTCTGGTAGTCATACGATCTTAGATGAACTACAACCACGCATACCGGGGTGAGGGCGATCAAAAAGTGGAGACAGCACAAATGCGAGTCGATATATACAGACAGACACATTATGCTTCTTAGCTACATGATACTATTACGTGTATTAGAATCATGCCACGAGCGAAGGGGTGATTCAGCGGATCCCTGTCGTTTGACAGAAAATATGTCGCGGTACCTGCTAGTGTCTCCCCCCACTATACGAGCCACTAACCCCTGGCTTCTTTTTGATGTATTCCTCCTGTTCGTGGTGCCGCCACACGTCTTATGCTGAACCAATCAACAAGCCAAAGGGTGACAAATATCGGCTTTTGTTCGGGTACGATTTAAACGCAGGGGATAAATTAAATCACCTTAAAATATGTTAAGAAAATTAACTTGCTTGGAAAAAGTGGCAGAAACCCCGCAAACTATTGCTACAAAAATTCTGAAGAAAAAGCAAATATCTACGACAGTTAGCTGGAAGAGTTTGGCGCTAGTCGCAATGGAATAAGGTCACGAACACCACTTTTCGGCTGCTACTTGTACCCAGAAAACATCACTAATTCCGTTGGCCCTTCACATTTTGCCCCGTCGCACCAGCCGGGTACATTCTTTCTATTCATGGCATTTACTGCAGCATGAATCGCCCGTTCTGGGGTTTCTATCTTCTTTACAAAAGGTTGCAAAAAAATGTGCGCCGCAAAAAACGGCGGAATTTCATATTTTTAAACTGACCCTTGCCTACCTTAAAACCACAATGACGTAAGGAAGAAAAAACTAAAAAAGGGAAAAAAAGGAGATTTAGCGAAAAATTTGCCTATTTAAGATTTCGTGGACCAGGCTTCAAAATTTTTCATATCCCCGGACGCGCCCGAAAACAAATGGTGCCGCACTGCTTATAGGACCAAACGGGTTAAAACTGTTTTTTATTGTTTTCCTGGGTATGTTGAGGACTATCTGATTTGGAAGCTTCTGCTGTATCAAGAAAGCCGCGGAACAGGTAAAAATGTATCTCGTAAAATAACCTAGTACAACTGAGTCTCAATCCCTTGTTAAACGGAGAGTCAAACGACAGACACACGACCAATGGTAAGGTAGGAATGAGTCAGCAAGCCAACCAATGAGATTGAGCTAATCGATCTTGTTCACTTGGTTGCCACCTTATCGTTCCCCCCTCCTAAACGCCGCCTCAACCTGGTTCGTAGCGATCAATAGGTCCCACCGCTCTTGCGGACCGACGCAGCTGACGTCTTGGTAATGATAACTCAACCGAGTCTTCATGCACTGACCGGTCGAGCTGATTAGCTGGTCCGTGAGCTGTGTGGAGTCAACGCGCGTTGACAATTAGGCCGTTCTCCAATCGATGGACGTCCGCGCCAAGCGCACGGTTGGTGCGCACTGGAGCGGAAAGCGAAGGTGTGCCTTTCTTTGTCGCCCTGATTTTGACGCGAACGTATGTGCCGGGCTGCATTGGTATCGATGCTTTAGCGTAGGAATTTTGGTAAGATGCTATGCGATTTGAAACTTCGGCATCTCTCGCTGATATAAGGTTATGTGCAGCATTTAACTTTGTGCGTAAGGGCCTTCCTAGCATCAGCTCCGCTGGCGTTCTTCCGGTGGCTCTGTGGTCACATGTTCTGTAGGAAAATACCGCGGTTAAACCTGCATCCTCTTATTCCGAACCTCTTATATGTATGGCTTGGATAGCTTTTTTGGAGACCGGTTTAAACGCTTGACCATGCCGTTGGTTGCAGGATTGTAGGGCGCAGTTCTGGAGTGCTTAATGGTATGACTATGTAGAAAATCTGCGAATTCGCGGCCACAAAATTGTGGCCCGTTATCCGTTACTATTTCATACAGTAAACCGAAACGACTGAACAAGTGTTTAAGCCAACCTAACACAACCGAAATAGTAACTTGTTCGCACATGTGTACTTCAGGCCATCTACTGTAACAACATGTAGCAACAAGTAGATTTCGCTTATTCGTAGGAGCAGTAGTGAAAGGGCCCATAAGATCAATGGCGATTTTGGTCCATGGTTTCATCGGGTAAGCACTTAGCTATGTGGGGGCTTTAACGGGCAAAGAAGTTTTGTCCGCTAATCGGCAAGCATTGCAATTGATCACAAATGTCTCAATGCTAGATGCCATTCATGGCCACCAGAAATAGTCTCACTCGATTTTTGGTCCGAACTATACCTCGATGTCCCTCATGTGCGCAAGCTATTATCTTGGCTATCAACTTGGGCGGAGCTACAAACACCGAACCACGCATCAGGCAACCATCTACCACTGATAGTTCATGTCGGATTGCGTAATACGGAATGAACTCACCGGGGATTTTGTTATTCTTGGGCCAGCCCTGCTGCACATATTCAATGGTTTCATGCAGTAAAGGATCGTTAGCATTTTCCCTCCGTAGTCCCTCGATCGTCAAGGCAGACAGATTAGCTCCGAGACTGGAAACTAGTACCGCCTCTCTGAGTTTCTCTTTTTCTTCTTCCAACCCCACGGGTAAGCGAGATAGGCTGTCAGCAATCGGATTTTGCAAACCTGGCCGGTACACAATCTCAAAATCATAGTTAAAGAGCCTGAAATATCAGCGATCCATTCGCATTGGGCGAAATCCTTTAGATCCATTGCTGAGAATGGCTGTTAGGGCTGAATGATCAGTGCGCAGAATAAAACGACGACTGAACAGAAATAAATGCCACTTTTCACAGGCCCACACACATGCAAGGGCTTCTTTTTCCCCAACCGAATAACGACGTTCGGAATCTGATAGCTTTCGTTACGCGTAGGCAATAACTTTCTCCTCTCCGTTTTGTATTTGTGAGAGGACAGCTCCGAGACCGGCATCAAACGCATCAGTGGACACAAAGGTGCGGCAAGATTCGTCAAAATGGCAACTAAGGGAGAAGACGCAACTCTCCTTTTCAGTTAATCAAAGGCATTTTGCTGATTGCTGCCCCAACCGAACGACGATCCTTTCTTTGTTAACTGTCGTAATGGATCTGCCACAGTCGCAAAATCCGGCAGATAGCGCAGGTTATAAGAGCACATTCCTAAAAAGGACTTTAGTTCTGTCAAGTTTTTGGGTTTTGGCGCTTCAGAGATGGTCCTGATGTTTCCATCACTTGGTCGAATGCCACTGCGTGAAATGGCGTGTCCCAAAAACTGAATTTCTGGTGCGTTGAAGAGACATTTTCCTACATTCAGACGCAACTTGAGATCACTGAGGCGCTGGAGGACTTTGTGTAGCCTTTCATCATGTTCTTCCTGTGGGCGGCCGAAAACACAAATATCATCCATGTAGGCTACCTGCCAGGGCGTGAGTCATGAACTTTGCCAGGCGGTGGGCGCGGAGCTCACACCCATGGGTAAGACTTTGTACTGAAATAGGCCATCAGGAGCAAGGAAGGCAGTTAGGTGTTTGGAATCATCGGCCAATGGCATATGGAAAATGCACTTTTCAAGTCTAGCTTGGAAAAAACAGTTGCACCAGCTAAACGTGCAGTGAGTTCATCATTAGATGGCAAAGCAAGGCGCTCTACGACGATCTGTTTGTTCAGGGCCTGCAAATCGTTGCATATCCGGACAGTACCGTCTTTTTCATGACACTACCCATTGGCTGCACCCACTCAGAGCAGTCGATGGGTTCGATCAAATCATTTGCTAGCATCGCTTGCAGAGCTGCTGAGACCGCTTCACGTTTCGTTAGCGGAATGGCTCGAGGCTGACCAATGGCGACCGGTTTCGCATTTGGTTTCAGCTGAATTCGATGCACACCACATGGAATACGGTCGATGGACTTCTGGAAGAGCTTCGGATAATGTTATTGCCAGTGTGCTACGTTGACGGAAGAGATAAGCATGCGGTCGAATGATGGTACAATGTGCAAAGCCACCATAGCATTCCTCCCAAGCAAGGGTCGTCTGTTGTCCGACATCGTCAACA